CTGGGGCCGCTCAGAGGCTGATAGACTGGTGGTGTGAGTTGTGGAGAGCGACTCCAAATCTACTAAATTTGTCATGTTCAACAGACAAATAAATAGTGCAATGTCACGTTTCCATGCCGGTGGGTGGTTGAATGTATTAGGCACGCAATGGTGTAAAGACGTCAGTATGCAGGGGCGTCGCCGACGGGGGGGTCGGGGGGGTCGTGACCCCCCCACTCTTGAAAACTGGGGGTGTCGACCCCCCACTTTTTGCGATGCTGAGTATGCTTTTTTAGCTTTTATGTCAGTGAAGCAGGCGTCAGCAACACCAACAAATACATCAGATTCAGAATCGCTTCAAGAGCTCCCTAAAGCCAATTAGCTAATTACCTAAAGTTCAATTAGCTGTGGGCGGGGAACACCAGCACAACAATATTTTTAAGTAGCCACCATTCTAGTACCTTTTTATCCCTCAAAGGATTGGACGCGCCAAAACTGCCCCGAGCGTTCGTCTGATCGTTTAAAAAAAAAAATGGTCGCAGTCGATTCGTCGGATCAGTACCTAACTACAACTACAAACTAGCCTCAGCCCCATGGCTATCGTCACAACTAGCTGTACAGTGCACATGTAGGGGAAAGGGAGTCAGATGAAACCGTCTCGGGCTTTCGCAAAGAAGTCGCGCAAAAGGAGCCGATTGCAACGAAACTTCCGGTGCGCTCGTGTTAATCACCTACTTAAAAATAAATTGATATCCCTGATTCAAATAAAGATGACCTTGGTTCACTTTTTCATAACATGCTTTTAATTCAGGTATAGGATAGTTTTTGGAGCTGATTTTGAACTTAGCGCCCATCTGAACATTTAAGAAGTAGTTGTGTTGCTTATACATATGTATAACATGTTAGGAAGCAATCGGTGGTGGTCATCCACTATTAGGTACTGGTCGATCTGACCTGACCTGATCTACCCCAAATGCATGGAGTCATCATCTTCGTTCAAAACTAAGATAACATTCGTAATCAGAACCTCGAAAAACCATCACAACTTACATTCGCAAAGTTCTAGCAGGTCCCGATTTTCCCTACGTATTGGCGATGACCTGAGTCCTGAGATGACCCGAAACCTTGTAAATGGGTATCATCGGCTTTCTCTCGTCACGGGCAGCATGCTCTTTTTTCCGCAAACCTGTAGATCGATCAGGGGTCGAAAGCATACATCAGCGTTACTTTAGTAGGTATACGTTATAAGTTAGCGACTGGGAGCCCACCAATAGAAGGGCTACAGTGAAGCAGAAAACATATTTGATAGCTGGGGCATTCCACGATAGATCGTACCAGGCCCGTCACCCTCATCTCTCAGATTTTAATGAAAATCGGTCCTAGGGGTAATCATAGGCCCCAAAGACGCCTGGCAAAATATCAGACTTCTCAGATCAAAACTTTTTGAGTTATATTGCATTACATTTTTTTAACTTCGGTATGTAACGGTGAGTTTGATGGCCTATAACTCAAAAACGGGTTAAGCAAACAACAAAAAGTAAACAACACTAAGCTTGCGATGAATCAAAAATTAATATTACTATTTAAAAATTCCAAAGAAAAAATTTCATTGTTGAGCAAAAACCTTAATCTTTTTTCATTTGCCTCTAATGACTTTTGGGACCAAAATTTTTCGCATTTTTATTTTTTCAAAATAAGCTTCATGTCATTGCAAATCGACATGCAAAAAATTAGAAAGGTGTTCTTTCTATAAGTTCCTCATTTTCCCGCAAACAAAATGGGTTTCGGAGGGGTTGATACGACCCCAGCACGCCGTTTCGCTTCTAATAGAGCTAGAGCCTCGCGGAAAAAACGAGCGTGTGTGCCGTTACAAGTCGCAGCGATTGGTACCCGATTTTAAGGTCTCAGATTAACCGGTAGCGTCTGAGGTCAGGTCACGTGACTGAAGTTACGGGTTTGGTTTTTAGTAAATAACTTCGCAAAAAATGGCCGCAGAGCCGCGATTTTGGCATCATTGTGTTCGCCTAGCTCAGGTGCATCGAATGGTATACTTTTTGCTAGGGTGAGGTCAACTTAAGTAGTTGACCTCGGGTCAAGGTCAGGTCAGAGCCCCTCAGGTCACGAAGCTGGGCAAAGGGTATCATATGGCATATCATTCGATTCGGAAGGTCTTCCCGAGTCCATTGGTGGCTTTCCCGACTCCCTAGCTCCATTTGATCGGGAGTTATTGACGAAAAACTCGTACGACCCTAGTGACGTCATAAATGACGTCACGCAAGGTTAACAATGCAAAAGTAAAGCATTGGACTTTGCGAGGAGTGCATGAAATCACGATACCATGTACGTGGAATAGTTTTAGATCATTCTCGGCACCAAAATAACAGTTTATATATTTCCCCATTGATTTATAACAGTGATGTCACGTGACCGACCTGAACTCATGTAACCTTGAAAAATTCCCAGATATACGAGTTGTGAGCCCTCTGGAGGACACAATGTATGCGTCCTGTAACTTTCATCTCGGACAGCTATGGTCATTGGCGTCCAAAACAATGTCAGAACCAAACAGCCTTTTTCACCCTCGTGCTTATAGGAAAGAGGGTTGGATGAACCCTCTTTTCACTTTTTTCAGATGACTCAGACTTAAATTGAAATTACAGTAACCGGTGATGTCACTAGGCAGCTTTACCACGCCATTTGTAAGCTCCCCTCCCGAAATCACTATTCGAAACCGTTATCGTGACGTAAAATAAATACATTTATAGAAAGAACACCTTCCTAATTTTTTGCATACTTCTTAACAATGAGCCAAATATTTTTTAAAGAAATAAAAATTCAAAAAAAAATTTGGTCCCAAAGTCCAAAAAATACAAATGATAGAAAACTCGATATGTCATATATCAAAAATAGCGTATTTTTCGAAATTTCAAAAATACATATTAATCTCTGTTTCATTGCAAGTTCAATGTTATATAACATTTGGCATTTGAATAATCCGTCTTAGAGTTACAGCCCGCCAAACTTAGCGCTGCAAAGCAAGATCCAAAAAATGTTATATACCATAACTCAAAAAATACTTATCTGATAAGCCTGAAATTATTACAGATGGATTCAGAGCCCCTGATTACCCCTGAGGCCATTTCTCGTCAAATTCCGAGAGATGAGGGTGTCAAATTGGAAAAAAGTGGTACGATCTATCGTGGAATGCCCCAGCTCTTTCAACGCTCTTTCGCTAGCTTCGGGTCAGATTTCATCCCAGGTCTATGTTTTGCCCATAGAAGGCAAACAGCTATCTGGACAGATTCTGCCGAAACATTTGCTTTGCAATAACTTTAGATTCCGTGAGTTTGTATGGTATTTACATATGTTGTCTTGTCACCACTGTGTTTATCTCTTTGAGACGCGTCACATGAGTTAAAATTTGACCATTCAGAATTAACGTTAAAACGACCTCAGGTCAACGTTATGTCCAGATCGAAAAAGGACCTCCTGCTGCATATGAATGGATCCGTGTTGTTGAGCTGAACTATGAACACCTTCCAGGTGCTGTCATCGCTCTACCGCGTCTTCGTCAAAAGTTGTAGGAAAAAAATGCTGGTGGCCATCGATGGACATTTCCACTAATGACCTTTCGAGTCATCACTCGCCATAAGTTGCACCCTGTCCCTGGCAATGATGAGCTGATTTGTCATGGCTCCAAAGATATTTTGCGTTTCTGACGAACTTTTTCAAAGCAGGAGGCATTCGTGCTTTTTATAATTTCTCATTATTTTCTAATGATGAGGTCACGTATTTGACCTGCCTCCAGATCATAGATGTAAATCCTCAGAATCATGAATTGCTGACACGTATGTATAACCCCATACATTAGGTATACAGTGTACCAAATTTCGAAGTTATGGGAGAATAGCTACAAGAATGGCGAGAGGGGAAAGTTTGATAGAGGTATACCGTATAACTGAACTTGACATAGCGACCTGACCTTAAGTGACCAGTGATAATTTTTACGCAAGTGATGTAGGTAGGTATACCTACCTAATAGGTTATACCAAATTTCGCGGCGCTGCACGCCGCTTTGTTACACGCGCACACATGCACATACGCACGCACAAAACTGGCAAGCGTGGCAAAAAAAAAACACCCCTACCCATCGGGTGAAGACTAGAAACCCGACCCCCCCCCCCCCACTCAAAAATCCGTGGCGACGCCCCTGTCAGTATGCTACTGGAGGCTAGTTGACCTCACTGTCTATACCTGCGTCCGGCGTCGGTGATGACTCGGTGACCTAACCGATTCGCCATTTTCGCGAGGCTTCTCATTTTATACACGTGAGCGCAGATAGCAAGGCTAAATGCCGAAATGTCGCGTCCCAAACTACCACCTCATGACATGACATTAGCCTTCCTCTTTGTGATGGTGCATTTTCGCTCGGGCGGCGGCTAATTATCCAGTAATATCGAGTTTATGTATTGTAATGCATGTAATGCATGTAATGCATGCATGACCATTGACCATCGAAATATGATAGTGATACATATCTAACACATAACATAAGATATTTACGTGGCGTTTATTCTACGAGATATTTAGGTGTTGCTTATCCGACAAACATTGAAATGGTGCATCCAACAGCGACATCATCACCGGGTTCACCATGGGGAGACGGCGATCCGACCGACGACGGCCGTTCTTTTCGCGGTGAGGATACCTGAGTGGCATATCCGCCAAGCCCCGTTCCATTTCCGTCGCTGTGTTGTCATGTTTACTGCTCGCTGTTTGTCGTCCTCGCGCGGTCCTACTATTGTCTTTGCTCCTCCTCCTCCTCCTCCCACATCCGGATCAGTGGGTGCGGCACCCTACCTCCTCCTTCGGCGACCCTTCTCCCCGGCGCACCTGCAACAACACGCTCGGGCTGACATTTGGCCCGCCCCACCCCCTCCTCGCCCCCCCTCCTGTGACGGAGACGACAGACGTGTGACGGATACGGCCGCCAGCTCTGACCCGCCACCTCCTCGTTTCAGCCGCCGCCGCCGCCATGCCGCCCCAGCCACCCGTCCGGCTCGCCGGCCTGCTGCTGGTGACGTCACTGGTCCCCGGTGAGTGATGACGTCAGTGGGTACAGCGGCGTTAGCTGTTTGTTGTCGGAGCCGCCTCGGAGCGGTCCTCGGCGCCGCAGAGGATGGACCTGTCAGCACGGCACGGAGCCGTGCAAACGGCACCGGCGCCGCCGGGATCGGCCGCCACTCGGTGTGTCTGTCAGACCGGTCCGACATGTCCGCCAGCTCCTGTATAGTGGTGACAAACTGTGGAGCGGAGCGCTCCCGCAGCAGCCCTCCTCTCGCCCCCCCCCCCCCTCACTCCCGGTAGACCTCACCTGTGCTGAGTATGTATGCCGGCACCGTCTAAACCCCAGGGGCACGTTTCTACGATCGATGTTCCGCTCATTAAAACAGACGTAAGTTACGCGCGACCCGAGCCCCTCGGCGGACCACCAGTGGATCGGAGGTGTGCAGCATTTCCATTGCAAGTTCGAGAGGCTCGCCTGGCACGTGAATGCTATGTTAGATGTTATCAATCTAATCAATCTATACCGGAATGTTTTGCATCGATTGTGTTTGATCTGATGATTTGGAAGGATCGCTCGCAAATAGGAGCATTGTTTTATTACTGAATTAGATAGTTCTTGCCTGTTACTGAAGTTGCCACTGACTTGTTCGGTAGAACTCGGCCAAAGTATTATTCTCGAAGTTTGAAAACTAGCATTTCGCAAGCCTAGCACAGGAGTACGATCCAGTTTTTCTTTCATCTCACCGGTCCCACTGTGTCGCTGTCACGTGTCCGCAAGCACCAGTCAGCTGATGGCCGTTTTGTGACGTCACGCCCCACGGGGACCGGGCCACGTGGTCCTGCGGTCTCCCCCCCCCCCCAGCTCTCCGTCGCCATTTGTCCGTGACCCCCCCCCCCCCCCCCCGCCGCATGGCTCGCCGCTGCCGACACGCCGACAGCGGCGGCGGCAGCGACTGCAGTGCGCCACAAGTCGAATGCCCTGCCATCGTCGCCCGGTCGACCGCTCCGGCGCCATCGCCCACCCCCCTCCTCTCTCCTCCCCCTCCGCAGAGCACCGCCGGGGGTGCCGCTGTCTGCCCACCACACGTCAAAGGTATTAATTGGGCGCCATTACGTGCTGGCCGTCCCGGGGCGCCGTGACGCGCCCCAGTGAGCCCCGGGCGCCCCGCCGAGCGCCGCGGGCGCCGACTGATGGGTCGGATGACACAGCGCTTCCTAGAGACAGAATCTCTGCACTAGCTCGTCTGTGGAGGTTGGCAGATGGAGAAGGGTGCGCTGTGGTACCTAGGACGTGGTAGTATTACGGGGTTTTCCAGTGAGGCCACTCAAGGCTTCCACTGACGTTTTTCAGTCGATATCGATGCGTGCACGTCATCGGTCGAAAGTCATAGGCCAGAAGACTCGAAATGAGGCTGAAAAGTGGAGCTGTGACTAAGACAGAGATAAAGACTGAGACTGAGAATGACTGAAAACTGAAACCAAGATGAAGACTACAAAACTGAGACTGAGGTGGAAACGGATACTGCCTTCTGAGCTTTGAGCGGCCTTCCTCAGAGTCCGCAGCGAACAGCACCCATTAGTCACCAATCATTCGTTTCCGGCTTACGTCTGGAGAGCGATATCCGTGTCACAACACACGGTCGTCAAGTGCAGTGCAGACTGAGAGTGCACCAAAGATCAGCGCGAGGCAGTTATCGCTGACGGCACCACCCGTCACGCGGAGGCGGTATAAGACAGGTCCGATTGATGTCTGCCCACGCTGTGTGATTTATTTTCTGTAAATACCACCTCGGGTGAGTTGTATCGCGTGGCGCCCTCGCAGCGCTGATTCAGTTTCCTTCCGGGGTCAGCTGAGTTGTGGTAGGGTTAATTAGGTCGCTCTCGCTGCCGGCTAAATTAGCCGCCGAATTACGGGTGTGGAGAGCTCGGCCGTATGTGTTCCTTTCATTACGGAGAGTCATTGCGATGACCTGTCGCAGAGAGGGGTGATAACGCTGCCAACAGCGCCACCGAGGAGCAGAGCGCGAGTAAAATTAGACGGGATTGGTGGTGCTGAGCTTTTCAGCTACTTGCGAATCAATTTATTTTGCATTTACCAGACCAAACGTCTGCTGAGTTCCCTCCCTGACGTCTTTATTTCTGTCATACTGAAAATGCATCAGTTACCACATTCTTTTGGTTACCGTCATTTCATGGATGCACTGTTCTTCAATGAGACACACTGAACTCAAATCTATTTATGTTCATTAAATCAAGGCTGCCTAATGCAACTACGCAGGTGGCTACATTCGTCGTAATAGGACATTACATGTATTCATGAGTTAGTATATTATCATTGGCGAATGACAGATACTGTTTCAGCCAGGCATGCGTGAGTTTATCTGTTAAATGCACGATCGGTGTGAATTTCTTTGTTGGCTCCAGTGATTAGTACTTATGTCAAGACAACACTAGCCAGAGCCCGCATAAAGCGTCATGTTTCTGAGCTATGTTTATGGTCATATGGTCTAATCAATGAAATCACTTCAGTCATGTTACAGTGAACCAATTAGGTACATACAAACCCTTACTAGCACATTGACATGGTGCGGCAACAACATCATTTATGACGCAAAATGTCTGGAAATGATCTTAGAAAATGATCTGCAGATCACTCGCACATATCAACAAACGATAACTCACTTTAACACAAAGCATCCGGTTATAATCACATTGCATTTTCCTTTATTTGTGTTTCCCTCGGCACCGTTATAACTAAAAAAGAACATTTTCCTCAATATGGCTCATTTAATTTCGATGGAGACCACTTCAAGGAAGCAGGAGGCGCGGACAATGGCCGGACAGCTGGCCGTGTTTAACGTCAGTCACCATTACGTGAACAAACGACCGCCAACTGCCTGCAAATTCGTTCCTGCAACCGCGCTTCCTCAAGCCTCAGTGGCTGGCAAGCGCATCGTGCTGCACCACTGCTGCTTTGTGACCTCCGGCTCGCCGCTCTGAAATTAATGGCCGCGATCCATTGGCGCTGTTTTTCCTGTAAATATGCCACTCCTCTGGCCTCTTTTCCGACTTGAGATCTCCAGAAAAACCGGCCGGCGTCATATCACGGGCTCGTTTTACGTGTCGCGTCCCTCGCGACACGGGCGAGCGGAGTCGAGCGGCATTGTCCCCGTGTCGCTCTCCCCCCCCCCCGCTCCCTCCGTGGGGACAGGCAACAGACGGCGGTGGGGAGTGAGAACCCCACCCCTCTGTTCCACGCGTGCGTGTGTGACACTGTAGACCGCCGCTCTGTGCCGGCGTCACTACCTCTCACCACGCGCAGTTAGACTCCCAGGGCAGCCGCAATGCCGCCAGACCGGTCACGTGACCGCACAGTCACCCTCCCGGGGAGCCGCTGGTCCGGGTCACGTGACCACCTGACGCCACGCAGACGGCCACTGACGAAGATTCATCGCTGGAAAACAGAGTCGTCTGTGCGGGGCTGGCAGTGACGCTGAGCCCCGGGGACGGCCCGGCTCGGCCACCCTGTGGGGAGGAGGCCTGTGGGCGGGTGAACGAATGGCCGGCTGATGTCACCGTCAAAGGCTGTCAATGAAAACGGGAGCTCTGTCGCGTGCCCGTGCAGATTGCGAAACCGGTTGCGACATGGTGGTGTACTGGGCGTTCTGGGAGACGTGGCTTCATCCATCTGCGAGCGGCGGCGTCATTAGGCAGGCCTGCTGACTGTGGATACACACGCTCCTGGGAACCCTGGCCGCGGTCTGCGACCTCGGTGGTTGACTGGTGCTTCACAGAATAGGAGTATTTAATCACCACTGAAATTTTTTCGCATATCTCATAGGTTTTCAGGTCAAAGTTGGGTGCTCAAGAATAGGCATGCTGAATAAATTTCACGTAATTATGCCTTGTTAGCCAAAATGTGACTTCAATGTTGAGAACAGCTATGTTCCGAGTAAATAACGCAAGACGAAGCCGCATTTTTTAAAGAAGGGGCGCGAGGGTCTGCCGCACCGACTGTGGCAGACTCTGCAGAACAGTATCCTCTAAGCGCAGACGACGGCCGCCGGTCCGTCTCTCCGTCTCAGAGCAGCCGGCCAGCCCGCCCGCGCGGCGGTCCGGCCGGCTCAGGTGCCGCTGCCGCCTGCCGTCCATCCGATGCTGTGCCGCTAAACAACACTGTGCTGCGGCACAGCCTACCCACTGCGCGGCTGCCCAGAATGAACGGCAGAAGAGGTCCCGACGTGGAATGATCGACAGGGATGATCGCGATCCAATCGGATCATATACATTTGGTATTTGTTTTTGCGTTCGGAAGCTCAAGAGCCTATCTTCCAGCTGGAATCCTAACCAAATATGAATTATCTCGGCACGTTGTGGGCTAGTTCACAAGAAGCTGCTGCTGCAGAGGGACGCCAGAGTTCACATTGAAACCACAGCGTCTGGGCGGGGTATATTGAAACCGCAGCGTCTGGGCGTCGTACATATGCTCGCGGTCGGACGCACATTCTGCTGGCTCGTCTCTGCGCCTGAGGCGGCGCGAGGTTTGTTTATCTAAGCGCGGAGGCTGCCACGCATGTAGTGGTGCTTCAGTCCAGCCTGAGGACACACTACGGCGCCACTGCAGGCGGTTACGTGCGACACCCAACTGAATGTTGATTTTTCTGAATGCTACCTAAATATAAATTGTCAGAGAGAATGAATATAATAAGCAGAAGGAAACTGCTTAGAGAAATGAAGAAATATGATCTATGTTGATGATGCATGGCGCCGCCATTTCACATAGTGAGTTAGCAGATTCGAAAGAGATCCAATAAACCAAAATGGGGTTATCAAGCCTCGTTTATTCCAGCGATGATTTTCACAATTTTAAGTCGCCATGCTGATTGTGGGATTTGTAGATGGCAGCCGTGAAATATTCGTCTACACAGCGCCTTTCGCGCCCCTCACTGCACTGACGCCAGCCCTTCACTGCCGACCTGTGCCCCCCCCCCCTCCGATCGGTCACGTGACCGGCTGTCAGCGTCGTCGC